AGGTGTGTGAGGGTTGACGTCTAGTGGGGTGATGATGTTAGGAGGTAGGGAGTGAGGGAATGTGTGGTGTGACCGGCGGTTGTCTACCGCAGGTCGTTGTGGATGCGCATGTGGCCGAATAGACCCATGCGATGCGTGAAGTTGCGAGGGCAGTGTGGGCAGTGGAGGCGAGTGCGGTGGGTGTAGGTTGGTGCTCCAGGCACTGGTTCGCCAGTCTCTGTGCGATGGATTCGCAAGTGACCGAACAGGCCGATGCGTGAGATGAAGGTGCGTGGACAATGTGGGCATGAGAGGTTGGCGGTATCGGTGTCAGCTGTAGAGGAAGCAGTGGTGTTGGTGGTGGCGGTGGTGGTGGTCGGCGCGTGTGACGGTGGGGCGAGGATGGGTCTGGGCGTGTTGGATGTCGTGGCTGTATCGGAATTGCGGTCAATGCCGATCTCGTGGATGCGCATGTGGCCGAATAGACCCATGCGATGCGTGAAGGTGCGAGGGCAGTGTGGGCAGTGGAGGCGAGTGCGGTGAGTGTAGGTTGGTGCTCCAGGCACTGGTTCGCCAGACTCTGTGCGATGGATTCGCAAGTGACCGACCAGGCCGTTGTGTGAGGTGAAGGTGCGGTCGCAGTGAGGGCAGGTGGGGGTGGTTGCGGTTGCTGTGTCGTGGTTGGCGATGTGTGAGACGGCAGCCTGAACGGCCACCGCTGGGGCAGTGGAGGAGAAGGAGGAGGATGGAAGTGGTGGTGCAGAAGGAGTGTCAGAGTTAGTTGGCGGAAGAGAGGACGAGGAAGAGGCGGGCGCGGGGACGATGGCTGGAGCAGTTCGAGAGGTGCAGTTGGTTCGAAGATGTCCAACAAGTCCGATTCGTGCCCGGAATGTCCGTTGACATCGAGGACACGTAGGGAGAGGTTGTGCGGCGGCGTTGCGTATTGGGCGAAGTTGTGAGTTGCGGACTTCGCGTTTCACTTTGGCGGCGGCGATGCGGTTGGCTTCGTAGATAGCAGCGCCCGTCTTCACTGTTCTCCTCCATGTCGGACGATCGCGGGCGAGCTCTTCCCAGTTGGTCGGGTTGATGTGCAGGCGCTTCAGGGAGGACTTCAGAGTATCTTTGTAACGGCGAATTTGGCCTCCTTGACGACGAGAACCCGTCGCGACGTCTCCGTAGAAGAGTCGTTTGGGTAGTCGCTCGTCGTCCATGCGCACCAGATGGCCGCTCCAGCGCAGCTGCACTTGTCTCAACATGGAGTAGATGCTCAGAATTCCCGTCCGTTCCAGCTTTTCGGTGTCGGGGATGCGGTCCTGCCAGTTCAGCCTCAGGATGCGGCGGAGACAGCTGGGGTGGAAGTGGTTTAGTCGACGTGCCTGCCTCGTGTACACCGTCCAGGTCTCCGCTCCGTACAGTAGCGTCGGCAGGATGACGGCCTTGTACATCTTCAGCTTTGTGCTCAGTTGGAGACCATGACGATTCCAAACTGTGCTTTGGAGGCGACCGAAGGCTTGACTGGCTTTCGAGATCCTGTTGGCGACTTCGTCGTCGATCTTGGTGTTGCGGGAGAGCGTGCTGCCCAGGTACGGGAAGTTCTCTACCACTTGCAGTTGAGTCCCATTCACGTTGATTTGCGGCG